AGCAATCTTCAAATGTTTTAGGACAACTAGCTCAAACTCAGAAAAGGGATATTGAAGTCTTATCCTTGTAAATAGGCATTCATAGAACGGAAGCATGTATTCATCAAAAAAAACTACATATCATATTCTCCTCTAGAACAAGAAGGACCAACCACTCAGAAGGATCATCGATCATAATGTTGGCATCACGCAGGGCGGCCACAATGTTCAAGGCTGAAGGAATTCCAACCACAATCACAACTATCCAATTATAGGTCAGTGGGCTCGGTCAATGTTAAAGGCTTAAATGTTCCCGCACCTCAGCATCACTAGGTTCACAACCTACGTTCTGCAAGTGAACCCGAATAAAATCTCTAATGTGTTGCCTCCTTTGTAAATTATCTTGTTCTTCCTCTTCTGAAAGAACGGGAGGGGACATTGGAACCTCAGTGCAATTTTTTCTACTACTTACATTTATTATAAGGGCGTTTAACAACCCAAAAGAAGAAGTTTCTTTCTCCAAAGGAGCTTCCCCTTATGACTATAGTTGTTATATATGGGTGTAACTTCTAGCCCTACATGATTGCTACTAAAAAAGGAGTGAATGGAATTATAGGATGACCCATATGAAGTTTTCCCTTCATAATCTCTCACTAAATTAGCATTATTGTCACCCATTTTGGCAAGGCAAAATAGAAAGTCCATGAGAGTGTGAGTGAGAAGGTGACTTGTTCAAGAAGGTTGGTGAAGTAGGAAGAATGAAAGAGACGAAGGCTTTAAATAAGGTTCTTAATCACTTTTAGTAATGTTCTCAGGTAAAGAGGAACAAAGACGTTTTGGGAAATTAACTAAAAGTTTGGAAGCTGAAAAAGTTGTGAAAACTTCCAACTGTTCAACTCACCCCTATTTATAAGAAATGTTAGCTGAAAAATCAAGACCAACTATGAATAGGAATCTCCAAATCAATGGCTAGATTTCCATTTAAAGATACACGCCCACTCGAGAGCACTTAAGCACCCTATGAACTGCGTCACACCCTAGTTAGTCACATCGTCCCACGTATCAAGAATGGGTGACGAAGCGTCTCGGTGATAGAACCATATTAAATGTGTATGTTCCCAATCATTTTTCAAATTGATTCCAAGCAATTTAGTTATACCCCATGTCGGACAACTACACATAGGTCTTTTAATGATATTTAAGGCTTACATCGACTCTTTCGGTTCTCGACCAAGCCTTTAGGGAATCTGTTCTGGACCGGCCAAAGGCCCAATAGGCCAAGGCCCAACCTTTTTTAAGCCCACTCTACTCGACCCACCATATAAAATAGTTCTCATGATATGAAAATATACACAATCTCTAATCTCCATTTTCACTTTATTCATCTTGATCTTGAACTGACTTGAACGTTAGAGTGCTAACCATGCAGGTCCACCCCGCGCCACCGTAAAGGAGATCGGAACAACCATTTATAATCAACCATCTTTCATCTCTCATCATTGTTGGTTCCTTTGAGAGCAAGAATCTCCATTAAAATATAAAGTTTTTTATTTACATTGTTTTCGTTTCAATCTACAAGTATAAATTTTTGGCGAGTTCTGAATCTGATTCATCGTCATCATTGTCAATCTTGGTGAAGATCATTGGATCCTCATTTCATTGAATCTCGATGAAGGCCAAATGTTAGATTTTTGTTGCATACACATACTTATGCAATATATTCTCAATGGTTTTGCATGCATTTGTTTTTGGTATAAAAGAAAAATAAAATTAGATAAATAAAATAAAATTTTAATTAAAAGATAAGAGATTATGTAAGAACATCAACCGTGTACCAATAAAATTTTTGCTCTTGCCATTCATCCTAGAGATTGTTTCCAAACTTCTTTAAGTTTCAGTATTTTCAATCCAAATGATTTCATTATCAATGTTTGATTTTCGCAACGCAACATCTAAGATATATAGTTGAGGTGTTCGTGTTCTGATTTGATGTAGACAATTTCTTGTAGATTTATATGTTGGCAATATCTTGTGTGTTGTTACTTTATAAATTAACAATAAAATTTGGTTACTATTTCTCTCGGTTCTAAAGGAACACCGAGATAATAGGTTATTTCTTTTCTTTTTTTAAGAAAAATAAAATAAAATAGAGAATTTTCTTCTCGGTGGCTAAATCAACTAAGGTATGTAATAAATTATTTCTATTACAAAAAAAAAATGGTGAATGGAAATAATTAAAAGTAATAACATGTATTTTTTTTTTATCATTCATCATTTTCTTTGTGTGTTGCAATTTTTAAAATCTTGTTTTGTGAAACAACAATATTACATGCAATATATTATCAATATGATTATGAATAAATTTTTCAATATTATCACACAAGAAAAGTAATAAATTATAGAATATTTTCTTTGATCCATAACAGTTGAAAAGTTATTCCAAAATATATCATGATCTGACAAAAAAATAAAAACAACAACAACGATAACAATATCATTATGTGAAATATATTTTAAAAACAGAAAAATATGAATATTAAATCTCTCATTTTTAAAGAAATAAAAATATAAACTCCAATTATTGATATTTATAAATATATTTCCTGAATTATTAGTATAATTAAAGAAATAAATAATATTTTTTTAAATAAATAGAAAATATGGCGCGTATAAGAATTATATGTTGGTTATATATTATTGAATTGAAAATTTTATTATAAAATATATTATTTATAATAGCAATATGATCCAATCTATTTTTAATTCTAAGAGAAGCTGCTAAGAGCTACATGAAAAAGAAAGACAAAAAACTTAAAGACCTATATGTCACAAAGACGTAAATGTTGGATTGGTGAATGAAATTCACACCCACAATCTGTAGAATTGGTGGAATGGAGGATGAATTTGTACATGATTGAGTTAAAGGAATATTGACGTTACATCCTCTTGCTATCTAGCTATAGAGTAGCTTCCCAAACTACTCACAATTGAATTTTGTACCACCTATTCATTAGTATTGGAAATTTCTCTATTGCAACAGCAAAGAATTGTTCGAAAATGCTTATCACTCGTAAAAGTCCGAAAAACAAGAAGAGATAACTCAACTATTTGAAATAGACATTTGAATCTGATACTCGACTCTATTAAATATCTAAATTGTTTTTATGCTAATTAGATATTCAAATATAGAGTCGAATATCGGATTTTTGCGTGTCTAAACAACACATCTATTCATGATAACTTGTCAAATGTGTTTGAAGTGGCTACAAGACACTTTGTTGCAAATTATTCATATGAACAAAAATCTTATGGTGGTGATTAACTTGACAGTCTTTATCCAACTGTACGGACGTAATTGAGCAACTTTCAATTCACCACAAGTCACAACCCAAGTGGTGCCACACAATTCACAAGCACATGATCATGTTAATAAATGTCATACTTAATAATTACTTGTGATAGTGAAATCCGCACGACTATATTTCAAATATATATTTATTTATTTTCCTATAATTTTAATATTATCTACATTTATTAAATGTATGGTCCTCATGTCCTTTTCTAGGTGAGTGAAGAAAATTATTCAGTTGTAGTTTTATAGAAAACAAGACCAACCATCTTGTTATGCAAATGAAATTGAAACTTACTTAGATAGGAAAGTATCAAAAGGTGTTGATAACTAACTGAATAAATTATTCCTCTGTCAAGAAAATGATGGCCAACCTTTAGAATCTTTATTTGGGTAAAGGGTTGGTTGCATAAGCTTCTTTATTGTGACATTTTGAGTACTATCAAAGATAGTATGGTGAGAGAAGATTATGTAAAAATGATTCTTTCACCAATGTTTGTAGCCAAAGTAACTAGTATAACAAGTGTCAACCTGACATGAAGTTAATGTTTTTCAGAATTGAACTTAATAGAATCTCGTTGAACGTATGGTATGTGCTGAATAAACGAGCATGTGTGATATGAATCGTATAGTATTAGATATATCACACGTAACAAGAAACTTTAATTCATTTTAAGTAATCATATAGAACTATAATTGCTCTGTGGTCAAAGACGTAGGTATACTTGACCGAACTGTATAAACAAATATTATGATTGTTGTTTGAGATCTAAGAATATGAAAAGTAACAATACTTGATGCGTGTTTGGAAATATCTATTTTCACAGTAAAAATTCATATCCACGTAAAAACTACAACCAATGTCTTTTAGGTCATCGCATTGCCAAACATACGATTAGCGTAAGTTTGAGAGTGAGTTTGATTCTTTATCATTGCCCGAGTAATAATATTTCATCGTGACAATTTGTAGCTTGTAAACCAATGTGCGTTCAAGTTTAAGTCAACGTCAAAACAAACATATACTTACCATGCACCAATAAACATATGTGATAGTGATACGTTAACATCAATAATAATTTTTTTTTTAAATTGATAAATTAAATATAATCAGAAATATTGATGTCAGATTTCAAACATCAACACTTTTACATACACACTTAATTCAGATTTGTCCGTATTATAGAGATCATAAGTGCATCAATGAAACAAAAAAAGAGGTAGAAAGAATAGGCAAAACAATCCTTATTTTACCATTACGACAAATGATTTGGCTCACAAATATGAAGAGGGATGAAATAAATGTGTAGTGAAAAACCTATATGAAAAAGCAAATCTTATGGTAATTAACACAATTTACTCCCTCCGTTTCAAAATGATTGTCGTTTAAAGTTTTTGCACACAGATTAAAGAATGCAATAATGTTGTCATAAAACATTATATTTTTACAAAATTAATCTTATTAATGTATTAGAAGTAGTATTAAGAGTAAAAAGTAAAAGACACAAATGAAAAAATGGTAATCATTACTACATTAAAAATAAAAATGACAGTCATTTTGAAACAAATTTTATTTGTTAAAACGACCGACATTTTGAAACGGAAGGAGTATTAAGAACACAAATCTAAAATCCCTTAGAACACCTTTAACACCATTCTTTATGTAAAAAGCCTGTTATACATGTCCAAAAGCAGCTACACTATAAGATTGAGAAGATTCCTGTTGCTTTGAATGAGGCAATATAGTCTCTAAAGCATCAACATGGCTCAAATTTGCAGCAGCCTTTCTCTGATTGCATAAGCCCTCAGATTCTTGATTTTGTAGCATTATCATTGGATTTTGAAGATACTCATTCCACTTAGCTTCATCTTCTTCTGTCTGATTCTCTTTAATAGAACTGTCACAATCAGTTAACCCCCAAGAAGATAGCATGTTATTCTTCATACCAAAAGAATCCGAAGAAATCAAAACATCTTCTGACGGAACATCGAGAACCGATGATTTGTAGCAGAAAGAACTAGGCAGAAATGAGGTGAATTCAGAGTTCATGTCAAAAGGCTTTATGCCTGTTTGGTTGAACCAATGAGTAGAAGAATTTGAGATATTGTTTGGAAGATTATCATTGGATGTGAAACTCATCTGAATAGGATAATTTCCTATCATATAGTTGTTGGAATTGGAACATGAACCTTCAACTTCCATTTCAGGTTCATAGGCTCTTACAACAATTGAAGATTGTTTTTTCTCATAAGAACCTGAAGTACTTTCTGATATTTCTGTTACTTTCTCTTGGTTTCTGGTTTTTTCTTCATCTTCTTCTCCATTCTCAACCTCAGAAAGTGGCTTATGAGTTACAGGATCTATACCTTTTTGCTTAAGTTTCTTCTTTAAGCAAGAGTTCCATAGATTCTTTATTTCGTTATCGGTTCTTCCTGGTAACTGTGCTGCAATTTGAGACCATCTAAAGAAAACACATAAGAATAACAAAATTTGATGCGCGAATTCTGAAGTATCGAGTTTGATTCGTACTCAAAAAGTTAAGGGAAAATGTTATGATGAGAGGAAGGATTGGATTTACCTATTTCCTAGTACTGAATGAAGTTCAATGATGAGATTTTCTTCATCTTGTGAAAATGTACCTCTTTTTAAATCAGGTCTAAGGTAATTAATCCATCTGAGTCTACAACTCTTACCACATCTTTGAAGACCTGTGACAAAATACATTAGTTATATGCCAAAAGAAGATTGAATTATATTGAAATTTGGATTTATATAGATGATATACCTGCTTGCTTAGGAACTGAACTCCAACATCCATGACCATAGTTAGTAATATGATTCAAAAGTTTTTCATCTTCCTCAGGTGACCATAGACCTTTCCTAAGCTTCTGTTTGTAGCAGCAAGAGTGCCTTCCCATTTTGTAGATTGTTTGTAGTTTAGATTCTCTCTCACTTACAAATACAATGAGGTGCGAAAGTTTCTGATAAAAAGAAAGATTGTTGGATTTCTGCAGCAATGAGCAAGACTGTGACAGATAAAATATGAGAGAGAGGGAAAGAGAAAGAGAAAGATATAGATAGAAAGAGATTATAATATGAAGTATGAAAGATGGATAATGAAGTGGAAGCTTAGAAAAGGAGTTAAGGCCCCATGATACATGTCATTGTCATAAAGGTACCTTCTATAATTCTTTTTTTTTTCCTCTTTGGAAAATTTAAGTGTCCTTCTCTTCTTTTTTTTTTTCTTTTTCTTTTCTTCTTCTCTTAAATTAAAAACTAATAACATATTTCTCGGGTAGGTCACACGGTTAGGGATGGACATAAATCATAGTCGGCTCGAAAATTGAGTAACCCAATAAGTTTGATAGATATAGACAGATCTATTTGGTCAATGGTTATATGTTAATAGAGGTTATAGATGTATAATTGGAATTGGCCTTGGAGGCGGGGCGAAAGACATATGCTTAAGTCTGTCATTCTTACCAAGTCACTTTTTTATTGGTTCGAGCGCCCCTCTCTTGGATAGGACACCCCTCTCTCGGATACGTCGCCTATATCCTTAGTGTCTATGTCCAAAATGCATGATCATGCGTAAAACGTGTATTGGGTCAAAAATGTTACATAGTGGGTTGCAGGATTAAACCACACTCCCTGTATTTTAGGGAACCGACTATCCACTTATGAGGTGGTTGCAGTATTTTAAGGAGACTGTGATCCAATTCAAGAAGACAACATACACAATCGCTAAACATTTCACCGGAGGGGGGAAATTTATCTCCTTCTAAAGAAGATATGTCTGACAATTGTTAACAACACACATCACACTCGTAAAAGTTCTTAGTGTCTCACGTAGGGACTAAGAGCCTATAATCATCTTTTCGAGAGAAGATGTGATCGGCGTACTCTCCTATAACAATGATCACATGGTCATCACAATTCAACATGTCGATTGGGATGTACAACAAGTAGTAATCGACCCTGACAGCTCTATAAAAATCCTGTTCTAGAGTGCCTTCGAGGGTCTCCAACTGAATTCCAACAGTATTCCGACAGTATTGGATTTTCCCAAGGGTCTCTAATCGGTCTGTCGAGCAAACAAGTGCATTTCAAGGGTCATATCACCCTTGAAACAACATTCGACTCAAGGACGAGTGCCAAAACCATCAAAGTGAAGTATCTTGTAGTAGACACCACATCCTCTGCAACACCATCCTAGGAAGACCCACTCTTAACCTTCTTAGGATGGTCATTTCCCTTATCCACTTAAGCCTAAAATATCTACTACCTAACGGGCGTGTGGGTACAATAAGAGTGGATCAAGTGACCACCCAAGAGTGTTACCTAAGCAGCTTGGAAGTGACGAGGGAACTCCTCACCCTGGCTACCATCCCTCGTAGTGAAATGGACGGCGTTGATATAGCAAGATGGGACCCAAGATTGAGGGGAAAAAGTGAAAGACTTACCCTTATCAAAGATTTGAAAGAAGTCCATATTGGACCTCTCCATCACCAATTCACTGAGTTGGGCAACTCGTTGTTCGAATTGAAGAAGACGATTGAGCCACCCTACTCAAGAAGAATATCTACATGTTTGTTTGGGTGCCCTCGGATAGGCCTAGCATAGATACTAGAATGGTGTATCATTGCCTCGCCAAAGACCAATGAGTCAAGCCAGTATCTCAAAGAAAACACAAGGTTTTCAAAGAAAATAGGAGAGCTATTGAAAAGGAAGTTCAGAAATTGACAAACGTTAGTTTTATAAGAGATAACAAATACTCGTCCAAGAAATAGATAATGTGGAAGAATATGTCTATTTTGTAAGGTAAAGTGTTTAGGGGTACTGAGGCTTGTTATCAAAATATAGAAAGGCTAGCATTGGTGGTAGTGGTGATTTCAAGAAAGCTTATGCCTTATTTTCAAGGACATTAGATATTGGTAAAAAAACATATTATCTTGTATGGCATGTCCTCAATAATCTAGATATAGCCGGAAGAATGGTATATTGGATAGTTCATTTGTATAAATACGACATGTAGTGCTTTCCTTGAGGATGCATCAAGTCACAAGTTCAGGAAGAAGTTTTGGCAAAATACAACATGATAATTAGCGAGGAGGTTTCTCTCGCCTGGATTCTTTTGGTGGATAAAGTCTTTATTCATTGAGTGGTCATTAAAGTTTAAATTCAAGGATAGAAATAATCGGGACGAATATGAAGCTCTCATCACCAGCATGTCCCTCACCCTAGAAGTAGGCGCTTCGAGACTAAATTCCAAATGTGGCTCTCAGCTAGTGGCAAAGTAAGTCTCGGTGAATACGAGACAAAAGAACTACAATCATTAAATATTTGAAGAAGGTATGTGACTTGTCTGGGAATTTCAAAACTTTTGAGATAAAGCATGTACCTAGAGGATAGAATTTTAGAGCGGATATGTTATCCAAGTTGGATAGTTCAAAGAAAGCAGGGTTCAACCGCACTATAATACAAGAAATGCTCACCACTTGTTCGCGGGATTTTCTCGCGAACAATCTCTAGCCTCTTAATTAAAGGTTACTTGCAGAACGGGCTACAAGAGTCCTAGACTTTATGTTAAGTTTGATAGTGTTTTAGTGTTTGAAATGATTAAAGTACAAAAAGCGTAATAAGAAAGAAAGGGTAAAATACAAAGACAAATAAATGATAGATAAACTGCAAGGTTGAAATGATAAACAAGACTTGAAATAAAACTTCTTTGAATTTAAAGATGTACGCAATCATACATTTCTCAGAACTGAATCGTTTCTCTAGATGCTGGTACTTTGAGTGCTCTCTTACAATGTTACAAAATGTGACCTCGAAAATAAATGCAACTATTTGCTTAAATAGATGCTAAAGTGTAACCGTCGACGGTTACTTGAACCACTCACGTTGAGAGTTTGTGTGGTACTACTTTCAAACTTCCCACGTTTTGCTAATGCTTGTAGTTGGTAACTACTTTTGCCGCCACTTGCTCTTGCTTTCGACTTGCCTAGCCTTTGTCGACCTAGCTTCTACCTCCAATAATGTATTGACCCCATCTTTGGGGGTTTCCTCTTATCACCTGTCGACAACCCTTGTTTATCACTTGTAGAATAATTGACACTCCCTTTTGAACAAGGATGCCCTCTAACTTGTGGCCTAAATCTTGAGTAAAAATTTTGCTTGTTAAAAAATTACCCCCCAAAATGCCAAGTTCAATGGAGGTTATGTCGTCTGAGAACTTTGGCGTTTTAACTTTTGAATTTTCGACTACACGTCTTTTGAAATGACTTCACGCACCATTATTGCCACTTCCTGTGCCACTATTCCCTATGTTAATCCATCATTTCTCATAATGGCTCCTAGTTTTTCAGGATATGGGATTTCAACAAACCCTACTAACTCTTCCAGTCTTGAGTTTAGCAACAATTATTACTATCTAAATGGGTGCCACTTGTCCATCATTGACGGCTTCAAAGAGCCTATAAATCTTCATTCATGCCTGTTGTTTTCAGCCTTCTTCCTCTACAACTTAAAGAACATGTGAAAGAATGTATTTCTCTTTGTAAAAATGGTTGCTTCCTCGCGTACTCCCTTTAATAGTAGTAATGTTCCCATGGCTTTTTCCCTTTCTGAAGAAGAGAGTTTGGACTTCATCCCGCAACCATCTTCTGATGCAAAATCGAAGGTAAAGAAGTGGCAAAGATAAATGTTGATCCCATTTGTTGTTGCAAGAAAGCTTTTTGCATTTCATGGGCCATATCCAACTCAGGAAAAACATCCTAAAAAGGTTCATAGATACTTTCCTTTTTTTCATCCCACAATCCCTTCTGCTTTCGATGAAATGAAACCCATTGGTGTTAGGTTCATGGATCCAAATTCTAGAGTGTTTCGTTTCTTGTCTTCATCTGATCACAAATCTTATGTAGCTTGGCTTGACAAAGTCCAAGGACAATGACAAGCTCAATGGAAGGAAATTGTCATTTTTTATGCCATCCAACTATCGAGGAACACACATAGAATTAATCTCAACTTTATCTTGTCCTCACCCTTTTTCTAGGAGGGTTTAACTAACACCTTTTAGTTCCCTTGTGGGATGTTAACACCTACCTTATTCAACGTAGCGGCCATCACTGGGATTTCTCCCTTCAGCGGGAATTTTAACCCAACAGTGCCGACTAGACACTCGTTTCACTTTGACTGCACTGATTTCACTCATTACATAATCAACCATTTTGTTATCGACCAAACGAATGACACTGATGGTGAACCTATTTCCTTCTTAACCCTTTGGCTCTCCTTTTTTTTATGTCAAGGATCTTTGTAGACATCCCCGAGTTTTATACCGTTAGCTATCCAACTTCATGAAGGTCGAAACATTTCTTCGGGTAAGATTTTACTTGCATATTTGTACCATGCTTTAGGAGATGCCTCTTCTCAGTTAAAATCCCTTCCTGGTAATGAAAAAGGGTTAGTTCTTTCGGGACCTTTATGGCTACTACAACACTGGTTGAATGCCACATTCAAATACCAACTAGGCTATCCCATTTCTGAGGCTATCTTGCGTCTGAATAAAAATAGAGATATCGAGGGTCTAAGATTATCCTTAGTGACTTCTCAACAAAAGCTCGACAGGTACACTTTCACAAAATATGTCAACATGTTTGTCAATGCTACAAACTTTGTTTCGGCCATGGCTCCTTTCTTCGAACAACGATTTGGGCCAGATTAGTTTAGAGATCCTTTCCCTGGAATCTCTTTGTCAAACTGTGCACGAATGAACGTTGTTTGGAGGGCATTTTTAACTCCAAACATGCTCTCCTTTTGCATCGATGTTCGTTCAAACGGCTATGGATTTATGGCGTATCAACCAAACCTAATAGCTCGTTAATTCGGACTTAGTCAAATGTTGCCTCGATCTTTA